GTCAGATCTGCTTCTCTAAACTATAGATCTGACTTCCCCAAGACCAATAACCACGTAAAGGTCGAAACTTGACTCACATGCAATGCACCCAAGGCTTTCCTTGGTGAAATGGCTTCTAAAATGGCAACCTAGTCTCCTTTCATCCATAAACCAACATAAAGGAGAGTGGGGAAGGCTCTCTGGACCTCTATGGGTCCAGATCTGAGGTCTAACACAGCAATGGACCATAAACTCAACTTTTCAAGCCCTAAAAGGTTATAGAAAACCCTAGATCATAGATCTTAACCCAAAACATAAAGGAAGTTCGATTTGATACCTCAATAGTGTAGATCTGAACTTGAAAACCCGGGATCCACAGCTCCCTTGACCTCCTATTGCTGGAAACAACTTCTTCTTTGCTAAAACACACAAGAAATGGTGAATTAGCCTTCCTCTTGCACCACAAACGATCTCTCTGCTCTCTAGGGGCAGGACCACAAGGATAGGGCCACAAATGGACGGCCATAAGGGCCCTTTAAATAGGGCTCAGGCCCTGAGATTTAGGGTTACACTTAACAGCGCGGACTCGCCGAGTCCACACATCTACTCGTCGAGTCCGGTCATTAATCTAGACAAGAACTCGCGGTCCTACTCGGTGAGTCTGAACGTCTACTCACCGAGTCCCTCCATAAAACTCAAGATAAATGAACTTTATAGAATACCTGGAAATCCGGATGTTACAAATGTAATAATAATCAACTTGAAAATAAACATAAATCACATAAAATCACCATTCTCCCTTTTAGGGTTTCCATGATCTTTTGCAACATGTAATCACCTAGATCCATCATCCACCATATATGGGGTGAAGATAGGATCTTGAGATGATGTATAACATACAATTCTTTGCAAATAACGAAAGAGATATAAATCAAATAAGAAGGAGTAGAAGTGAAGATGAAATCATAAAACTAGAACAAGGTTATGAATCAAGTTGTAAGAAATGATAAGGAGGTTCATACCAATACGAATCTAGGCTGGAAATTAACAAGAATTAAGCTCCAAACAACAGCCCCTTGGCTGCTCTTGATCCCAATGAGAGAGAGAAGGATGGCGTGAGGGAGGAGAGAGAGAGAGAGAGAGAGAGAGGGGTAGGGTTAGTGTTTTTAGTGTGTTTTTCTTGTGTGCGTTCCAAATGACTCAATTAACACATTAAGTACTATTAACTAGATGGATTTTGCAAATAGACCCATAGCCCATGGACTTCAATAAAAGGAGTTTACAAGATGATCAAAAGAGTCCAATAACATAAGAAAATCAGACCTTGGTTAAATAAATTAACCCAAGGTTACAAAGAATAATAACTAAACATACCGAGAAAAACCGGGACGTTACATGGAGGGGTATAAAGGTAATTTCCTGTTTAAAATGCCAATAATCCAACATATGAGCTTCTAAACGTAGAGTATATATATATCAAGCGATTTGAAATTTTAGGAAAATTTGAATCCCCTTTTTAGTTTGGGAAAAGGGAATAAGGTAATAAGTAAATTCAAGAAGCACTCACAAACACCCACTTATTAGTCTTCGTAATGTAAAGTTCTCTTTGCCAAGTTTTATTTTTAATATTCAAGACCCAAAACGTTAATATATTTCCAATTTACATAACAACAGCTAATGGACAAAATATATCCCAAAAGATGGTCATGATAATACATCTTCATGACATCATTAAACAAAAATTACTACAAGGACATATGATATAGCTACATACACAAATCTGAAACCACCACTTTGACTAGCCCCATGCATGTGCACAATAACTTAATTTTTTGGAATGGCCTAAGTGAATCACACTTTAATCAAATTAAATGAGCCTATACTCCTATACCACCACCATCCTTGTATATATATATATATATATATATATATTATTATATATATATATATATATATATATATCTACTATATATAATATCTTATATTATAACACTAGTGGTATACCCGTGCAAAGCGGCGGCGGCGAATAGATTTTTAAGCGATATGTTTCTTTTAAAAAAAATGTTATGTTCCAAAAGAAAATACCTATCTAAGACAATAAAATCCAACTTTGGCGTTGTTTTTGACATGATACATCAAATAAACGATAAAAATAAATAATTTAAGGCGGCACAAGATATAAATTTTGTAAGTCATTGAAACAAAAATAATAATATAATATAAGAATACACGAAAAAGGGCAGCAATGAATAATTCCTTCTATCGAATAGTTCCATAAGATTGTATGGAATGAAGATGAATTGGACGCATGGACGGCTAGTATGTTTCACAAAGTAGCATATGCTACTCTTCAAATTTGTTGACGTAGTGTAAATGTTTTGAAAATCTCTCGGCATAGTGTAAACTTTCCGAGAAATTAAGCAAGCTAACACTCCTTTATTTTTAATCCTCTCAACTTATACCATGAGCATGATTATTTGTACCAAAATGTGTAGGATTGGAGGGATAGAATATTTTTTTTCTTGTGTTTAACGATGGTAGGTTTGGTAGTGGTAAAAAAGAGAAAAACGCATATGTGTAGGTATGGAAGGTTAAACTCCCACCACTTTAGGCTAATAGAACTCTAAAAGACATGTCATATTTCTAAAAAGATATAGATCCACATTGTTATTGGTCGGGTTGTATTTGTTAGACATGGGTCGTTAAATATAAAACTATTGGAATTTTAGAAAGTAAGAATTTGTGGTTTCGGTGGTGGAGGAGTTAGACCACCTCATTATGTCATTATTTTACGAGTCTAGTCTTTAAAGACAAATTATATCTTAAATCATCAAATTACACCTAAAAAAACAAATTTATGGAAAATTTAATAGTTTTTAATTTGCAATAACATCACACGATGAAAGTTGAAGATTGTATACCAATTATCTATTTGTAAAAAGTAAAACAAATAATCTCCAACATAACAAGGTAATCTAACCAAGTAATAAATAAATACCCAAATTATCCATTTCAAATTATTTTAATTATTATTAAACTTAAAGATCTCATACTCTTTCTTCTATGTTGTGGGTGCGATCACGATGGGTTTATCTTAATCTGATAACGTTAATTCGTGATAATATGTATATGTTTTTTTGATACGCATCAAGCTAATTTAAATGTGATATCCTTAATTCGTGTTCATACTTTCTTTTCAAAGTGGCATGGCAGCAAACATTACTCCAACACATTTATTTGCTTTTTTTTAAATAAGAAAAATAAAACGAAAAACAACTTGGTTGTCATCTCCACCGTGTAAAAGAATTTATCCAAATTATGTAAACATAAAAAGCTAATAGTTCCTCATGGATCGGTTTATACATGATATCTGGAGAGAAAACTGATGACATAATCATTTCATGAACATTATTACTTAATTGTTGGGTTTTAGATTGATGTATAAATCCATTACATTTGTTAGTTTGATTTTAATGTTTATCATGGAATTAAAGAGTACATGAACACAGTGAATACTCAAGGCAAGCATGATGTTTGGGGTGGCATAGTGTTAGAACGAAACAAAACAAAAGAAACATTGTAATGTTGTGACTGACCCACCTTCATAACTTCCATATATCCATATGTGTGTATTCATTCTCTCAATAAAATGAAAACTTTAGTTACCATTATTCATATGAACTTTGACTCATTTAAGTGTGTGATTGTATCGAAAAGTAAAATAAGAGATGGTCTTTAACATTAATATAACACTGCACATCCCATCATAATCATTTTGCATTAAACTTTTTCCTATGAGTTGGAAAAATAGTGATATTAATACAATTTCATTAAAATGTAAAAATCCTTAATTGAAAACAAAATCAATTACATATAAACACTGTAGGTAACAGATCAAAGCAACTTATAGTCGAATAAGTTATTGAATCAAATCAAACCAGGTCCTGAACAAGATTAGTGACAACAAATTGTTAATCATATACATGAAAATAATTTTTTGACTTTATCTCATCACGAAAATAATTGCAACTATATTAGTCATGTCCTGCAATTGCAACCACAAACACTCGCCAGGATTCAAACAGGATGTCTTCTAAGGAAACAATGTCAAATATACAAAAAACTATATTATTTACTCATATTATATCACACTCTTCATCATAAACATAGACTTGATAAAATTATAAGTTGCGCTAAAAGTATACATCATCTCTTTGTTTTGTCCCTTCGCATGCATAATCAGTTGTAGAGTCAAGTATAACCTACATTCTGCAAAAACATTGAGTTGGGATCAATGGAGACACTAAAAGAACATGAAAAGATGGTTGAACCTGCTTCATAATTGAAAAAAATGGTTTCCCGTTTTTTCATGCATAACATGTATAAGCATAAGTTTTTTTTTAAAAAAAAAAGTTGTTTCAAACTCTCTCCTGGGTGGACTCATCAATAATGAATGAAACTTAGTCCTCTGTTTAGTTATCAATGGGTTGTTTCATTTAAAAATAGATAATTTAGTCAAGTGACTAAGTAACAAAGAAAGAACAAAGTTGCCAGAGAGCTCCCAAATCATACACATCACAGTGTTCAAATTGGTTAAAAAAGTCCCAAGAAGTTTAAATATCCACATTCTCTTGTTAGAAAGACCTGATAAATGTATCCTTAGGTTTGCTTTCGGAAAAGATACCATTTTAAAATTTTCCTATTTGACATCCCCATTTGGAAATTTTCTTCAAATGCGTAAAAGCTTTTGCAAAACATACTTATTCTTCATAACTAAAATGTCAATTAGGTCAAACAAAATTAGGCAAAAAGGAGCAAATCATAACGGGTTTTAGTTTTTACCCCATATTACCCGAAAGCACCTTAAACATGTCTAATTTGGTATAGAGTAACCACCAAAGAAAAATAGTGGAGAAATAAACACAAAAGCTACAGGAGCAAAGTAGAGCCAGGGGCAAAATCGTCCAACTAAGAAAAAAGCAACAAACATGGGATAAATCGACCCAAATGAAGAGTCGTAGCTAGATAAGCACAACCAACACAAGAGCAAGACAGTCGAGAGAAACCCCAAACCAAACTCGATCAAAATGAAGTGGGGGCAGAACTATCAAAAAGGGGCAATTATGCCTAAATTTATATCAATACATGCTTACACATGTTGTAGCCATGTAGGCATAAGGAAAAAGGAGCTACTAAGTCAGATTAGAGAAAGAGATACCTTGCATCAGAACCAAGGATAACCAAATCCTTCATTAAACATTTTGGTTTCAACCGGTTGGCCACCATATACCTTTACAGGAACACTTCTAAAGAGTAATCCCTGAAGTTCTTCACATGATAAGATAAAATTTTCAAGTCTCACATAATGTAAAAATAAGAAAAATATATCATAACTACCAATATTTAAAATGCGCTCAGTTTACTTGTTTCCATCAATTTTAAAGAACATTGATAGCTTTAATCTCAAAAAATCGTCCAAATCTGAGACCCTGCTCAAATCCTTATTTTCAGTAGCTTCTTTATGTAATAAAATTGAAAACATTTAAATACTTTAGATATAAAATAAAAGCAACAGTCGTAATACCTTGAAAGTGAAACTTATAATGAGAAAATAAATCAAACCCATACGTTGTAACTCACTGATTCTTAATAGACTTGAAAGGAGAGAATGAGACAACCAAAGAACAATGCTACTGACAGTTTCACCAATAAATAACTGAGGGTAAAGCTGTAACATTATTTTGATCAATTCATTATGATTTTTTACCCTGGAGACGAGTTCAAGATGACTTTCTTTGACATTTTGTTACAATAGCAATAAAAATCAAAACCCATATGAACCAAATCTAACATAGCAAAAGATAAAGTCTTAATGTATTGCAGACAAAAACATATGGTTAGGAAAAATAAATACTTAGATGCATTTGTACCACCATTGCTGAAACTGAACTATATATAAAGAAGAACCATTAATGAAACGGGATAAGATCAAACAATATAAGTTTTGTGAAAAACATGTGTTTTTGAGGAAGGTTAACAAACCAATCAATGAAGAATTCGACGGGATGAACCATCCTTCCAAGCACCTGGTTAATACTTCGGAAATCCCATAAAATCAAGTGTCACCCTAAAAAATCAGAAGCATATTAGTGTTTCTTCATATCAGTAAGTGCTAAATGGTGGTGGCGATGGTAGTGCATAGGGTTTTTTAGATATATATATATATATATATATATATATATATATATATATTATATATATATATAGAGAGAGAGAGAGAGAGGAATCATGTATGATGTATACTACCAGAGTTCCGACAGTGGCTGATTTATGAGATTGATTCTAGGGTTCCGGTGGTGGCTGATGGCGGTGAAGAAGGTGGCGGCATTGACAAAACCGAAATCTATCCGTATTAACCAATTTCAAGAAACTTTTGTGAGTAAGGATTCGATTCAATTAGAAATGTCTTCCCTTGCATTGACAAAACCACAAAAAAAAAATCGCAGAGTATATCAAAACGATGTTTTTATGTGATAACTGAAATCAGAGGTTATTTTTGTTGAGATTGCAAATGGGAAAAAAAGGAGGGGATGGAATTTAATGGTGGTCGTTCGATTTTAGAGAGAGATGACTGGTACGATGACAGTGCGATGGGTGTAATTTTAATCCGGTGTGCTGATGATTGGTCTGGCGGTGGAGGGTGGTGACCATTGAATAGGGTCGCTAATGGATGAGATGGTGAGGACGGTGATAAATGTTCGTGATAGTCGAATTTTTGATCCTGGTTGGTGGTTTCAAGAAGTGATACAGATGAAGGGTTTATAGAGATAAGCGAAAGCATAGGGTTTCCAAAGCATATTGAAATTTCAATTTTTGTTAAGAAATATCGGGAATAAACGATATATGCGGAAGAGATATGGTTGGTTACAGAATATCGGGAGTGGACGATTATTTTATTCATTTGATATTGGAAGGTTTAGTTTAAAAATGTGACTATTTGGTTTATATGGTTGTACGACTTAACATAAGCTTAAACATTTTAACGTTTTAAAAAATAATATTATTATATTCAATTTATTTTTTACAAATAATTAGATTTCTTTTATAAGATAGTATATATATATATATATATATAAAATAACATTTGGAGGGTATGTGTTAGCAAAGGCTAGTTTAAGGATAGGCTATAGATGTAAGAATCAAACCTCTAAAAAATTGTTCGTAAATACTAATACTCAACCACAACACCAAAATCGAAGTGATGTTTACGTATCATCAAGCATTTCAAATTTGTACATGAGACGAATTCTGACAATGTTTCTAGTCAAAGTGGCGGCTTCACATTCGTTTCCCTTTAATGGGTCTTTCTGAATACTTGTGTCGATATTTATATCCATATCCCTTTAATGGGTCTTTGATCTTCATAGCAAACTTTATAGGCCTTATGATAAAAATATGTACTGTATATCTTCAAGCATGATATATATATATATATATATATATATATAATATATATATATATATATATATATATAACTTATCATCGAAGTTATTCTACATCTTGCATGAAGGATCATGAAAGAACTTTGTGGTGGTTGGATTATATTTCAATGAATTGTGGGGTTAGATGAGATCTACTTAAGTCGGAACAAAGAATACATTTATTACTTTAGATAACCACAAGTAGTTGGGGAGTGGATAATTAATTTGTGATGAGTGGATGAGAATATGTGTTCTTAATTTTATTAATATACCAGGTTACAAACCCGTATAATACATGGGTGAGATATAAAAGAGTTCAGAAAAAAGTTAAAATATTATATATAATTAAAAATATGAAAATAATTCTTTGTATATAGGGATTTATATATTAAAAAATTTTATTTGAATATGTTTAAATCATTCTATGAAGAATACCGAGAATTAATTGTTATTCAATATTAAACACCTTATTTTTACGGGTTTATATCAAGTGAATTTAAAAAGCATTACAAAAATAGTAAGAAATTAAAATGTTAAATGAAGACTACATGGAAAAAATATGACATTCAGTTTTAAAATCCTTAAAATTTGGGATTTATGTCAATAGAAATAAAAAATAAATAAATAATACTACGAAAATGACATTTGACATCATTGTGCATAAAAATGTGACATGTGTCAATCAAAATGTTTCTTTTATTATAATAGGGATTAGATGAGATCTTCTTAAATAGGAATTATAATAGGGATTATAATAGGAACAAAGAATACATTTATTACTTTAGATAACCACAAGTAGTTGGGGAGTATATGATGCGATTGCGAAAGGTAGCCTCTTAATTTCCAATTTGGGTCCTGATTGCAAATGGGTAAACTCCGAAAAGGATGTTGGTTGCATGAAGGATGTTAATTGCTAATAGGGTGTTGGTTGCAATTGGATGCGACCGACTACGAACGATCGCAAGCCGTCGTAGTCACTAGTGGATCCGATCCGAACGCGAACCATTTTGGAATGAGGTTGGATGCGATTCCAATTGTTGTGACAGGTTACGACTGGTTCCGAACCATCACAACGAATCGCAGTTTTGTAAATCCCTAAAATTTCTTGATGTATCAATCTGATCCACTTGATGGTGCAGAATCTCAATCAAGTGGATGATGCAAGATAGAATGGAGAAGAAGAAGATGAACTTGATGAATATTCAATGTATTGATGATATGAATGATGATCCAACATAAGATTCACACACACACACACTTCTTCTTTCTAACTTTCTCTCTCTAGAACTCCCCTCCTTACAATATGGCCAACATATGTCTCACCCACTCACACTCCTAATGACAAGATATATATATATATATATATATATATATATATATATATATATATGGATCGAAAACCCAAGGCCCAAACCCAATTGCTTGACCGAAAACACATGAGTTTTCGGTCCAAGCTACAACAAAAACCAAGACCGTTTTCTGTAACATCCCCAAAATCACGGCCAGAAAAGACCGATTTGTTTATGTTTTGTTTTATAAAATTAGAGCAATCCTTTGATTAAAAGAGTTGCGGAATTTATTCCCAAAACAAAATATGATAAGAATCTATCAAAACTTTTCTTAAAGAAGTGTATTTTCATTAAATAACAAAATCTCGGGATTTCATGTTCCGATACAGACCAAAAGCATAAACAGTATAAAATAGACCTTACACTAGTTATTTATAACTACTGATCTATAATCCAAAATCTCTCATCAAGTCCACCAACTTATACTCTTGTGCCATTATCTGTAATGCAAAGAAAACTGAGGGGTCAGGCTGGGAGCCTGGGTGAGCATATAGGGTTTTCAACCCACAATAATATAATTATTATATTCAATCATCAAACAATCAACCCAATTACCCACCCCCATTATCTTCATTTAATCTTTCCTAAAGATATTATCCTAAGGGTCATCTGCTATATTATATTTACCTCTCATCTCCTTACATCTTATTTCTTTATATGTTTGTTCCTAAGAACTTTCCTAAGGATCATCGCCTACATCGCCATAGACAATACTAATCGGGGATTACTCCCTCATATATGGTTCTAGTAAGGTTAGGGTATCATCGCATGATTACGCAGCCACGACATCGCCTGGACTCGTAAATCATAATAAGGGTTAGACTATCATCGCATGAATACGCAGCCACAACATCGCCTGGACTCGTAATCATAATAAGGGTTAGACTATCATCGCATGAATACGCAGCTGCAACATCGCCTGGACTCGTAATTCATCACCTATCTATCATCACCTAATTATCATCACCATTATATCCTCACCTATCTCTTATCACATTATTTCATCACACACCAACTATTTCATCTACACATGTTCTACCCAACATATTTGTAGATATAAATTACATATACAGTTTAAAACTATTTAAAAACTCGTATAAAACATTCATTCAGCATCCATCTCAAGTAAACAAACAATGTATAAACACATAGCACGTATTCATAGCAAATACTTTCATATCTATGTGTTAGAAAAAGTAACTACACACACTTGATTATACGTATACTATCGGACAGCACTACGGCTCGTAAAGTAGTATTCTTCGGTAAAACTGGATGATCTTCACACACCGGGCTTCTCGCAGGCAGAGCTTCGGCTCGGAAACTCTTTTCTTCCCGGGATCTTCAGGCTTCGGGTCTTGCTTCGTGTCTCGGGATGATAACGGGGCTTCGGGGGGTTAAAATAGGGCTTAAAGAGTGTATCGGGAGTGGGAGAGAAGAGATTGAGCAACCAAACTCGGCTGCCCCTTGAATTCTATTTATAGGGCCATTTTTATGGATTCACGTCGTGAATCTCAAATATTCACGTCGTGAGTTCAGTAGTCATCAGGTGCGTCATCGCAACTTGCGTCTGTCAGGCTCTAGAAGTCATAAATACTGAGTTCACGTCGTGAACACTGTATTCACGTCGTGAACTCTGACAGTTTTGGGGTTTCGCGCCCCGAACTTCATAAATCCATAACTTTCGCATACGAACTCCGTTTTCACCGTTTTTTATATCCACGCGTAGGTGAGATTATGCTCTACAACTCTCGTTTAGACTTTGTCGGCTAATTTTGATTTTATATTTAATATATTATTAATATATTATTTTTAGTAGGCCGCGGGACCAGGAAAACTCCGTTAGAAATTCATTACTCCTTCATCTGACGTCCGTTTTCGACTGTCTTTTCACCGTTGCACTACTATCAACGAGATCTTCAATTCTCGTTTAGATTGTTTCGACTAGAAATCCGTCGATCTCATATTCGAACTTCGGGCTGCATACTACAAAGCTGAAACTTAGAAAAATCATAACTTCCTCATACGAAGTCAGATTTAGACGTTCTTTTTATGCACGCTCTCGGTTTAACGTATTCTATGACTTTCACTAAGATCGCTAAGGCCAAAATCGCTCTAAACGTAAATTCACTATTTACGTTCGGCGTGTGTCGTGCCGGTTCTGTCGCGAAACTTCGACAGGTCATAACTTCTTCGTTATAACTCGGATTTCGGCGTTCTTTATATGTACGGTATCCTTGTAACATATACTACATCTTAGTTAAGATTATTCCTTCTAAATAATCTTCCATCAAAAAGTCATTTTTGATGCTCTTTGTCTCTAAATTGACTAGCCCGGATCTACGGGCGTTACATTTTCGGTCCTAGACTGAAAACAATAAATGCTTAGAAAAGGAAAGTATAAACCAAATTGTAGACCTAACAATCTCCCCCTTGGTTTATAGCTTTATTTTCTTTTGACCTAACAAACTCCCCCTAGGTTTGTAGCTTCCTTTTCTTGTCAATCTTTTTATCTTCGATTTCTTCACAACTTTAAGATGAACATATGAATCTTCTATGTGAATAACTTCATCTTGAACAGTTGGGATTTTCTTCAAAATTTGACTTTGAACGCACGTTGGGTGAGGAGGCTTCTTGAAAAGATTCTTGAAAATCAGCATTTTCAGCTTGAGAATCTTCAGAGAGAACAGAGAACGAAACTTATGGATCACTTCAGCAGGTACATAGATAGCAACAAATTGATTTAGGAGGCTTCAATGCAATTCGTCACATAATCTTCAAGTACAACTTCACCTTGCTTCTGGGGTTGAAAGATTGAATGTTGAAAAATAATCTTCATTTCTTGTTCCTTCGAATGAACATTCTTCGAGAATCACGGATGAAGTCGTGGCTCAGAAAATCTCCATACAGTCTCCATGAATCTCATCTACATCTGGATTCACTTTTCAACACAAAAAAAATTGAGATAAAAAACAAAAATAAAAGAAAACATAGCACACAATATTTTTGG